CTCCCTGAAGGTGCCGGCAGAGTTCGTCGGTGTGTGCCTTTTCGTGGCGCGGCTTCCGCACGCTGGCATCTCTGACCGTGTCCGTCATGGCGCATGTCGATGCTCCCCGAGACATCGGTGGCTCTCCCGCCGCCTCCCCACGCGGGCCCGCCGAGCGCCGTCGCCCCCTCGGCACACAGTTGTGCCGAGGTCTAGGGTCGAGGTCGTTTCGGGGAGGGTGCCCTCGTGTTCTTCGTGTCTGCTGGATGCTCTTGTGCATCATGGGGGGGGGTACCCTTGGATGCTGCCTGTGTTTTGGCCGACGGAGGGTCTCATGTTCTTCAGGGATGTTCTTCTGGCCTGGTGTTGAGTGTGTCTGTTGAGATAAACTCGCCTCATAAGCTGAACTCTAAGAAGTCGAATCATACTCTGATTCAGCTCTGATTCAACTCTGGCCCGAAACTCTGTTCATTTTTTTTTTGGAAACTCTGATTCAGCTCTGGTCTGATCTCCGATTTAACTCTGATTCGGCTCTGTCCCCAGCCGCTGAGCACAGAGGTGAATCAGAGCGAAGTCAGAGTGACGTCAGAGTTCCAGTCCAGAGCTAAATCAGAGTTTCAACTAAATCAGATATGGATCAGAGTTTGAGGCCATAGTCAAAGCAGAGTTGAATCAGAGTATCATCATAATTCTGGCATTTAGGGGCGGAGGGCGCGGGGCGCGCTGCGCAAGTGCGCTTGCCTTCTTGCAAGTGATGGGGACACGATCCACGAGAGGGGTGCGCCAAAGCCATTCCGAGGGGCTCTCTCTCTCTCTCCCTCCCCGCCGCGTGGCGTCTGCAACGGGGGCCGCTCCCCCCCCCCTCTCTGTCCCGCTCTGTCTCTGTCTCCGTTTCTGTTCCCTCTCTCTCTCTCTCTCCCTCTCTTTCTTTCTTTCATGTGTTTTTTTTTGTGTATGTGTGTATGTGTGTATGTATATATATATATATATATATATGTTTTTTGTTTGTTTGTATGTTTTTTGTTTGTTCTCTCTCTCTCTCTCACTCTTCCTGGGCCCCAGCGCTTGCACAGCCGGCGGCAAAACGTCGCTGTCAGGCCGCGCGGCGGGCATGGCGCCCGGCTGCGCGGATGTCTGCCTGCGCAGCCGCGAGTGCGCAGGGCTCGCCGCGTGCCCCCGCGCGCCCAAGGCGTGTTCTCTGCTCTGCACAGCGGGGGCGCGTGCCAAGAAACCACTTGGATTCTGCCAGGGTGCCCTGGGTTTCTTGGATTTCGGTGGGCTCCCAATCAGATCTTGACGATCTTCGATCGACACATGTGGACTTTCACTGAACAAATCGCGGATCTCAGGGTTGGGTTTCTTGCGGAGGTTTCTTGTGGCCGAGTCCCCCCTGTGCCGCTTCCCTCCCCTCTTCCGGGGCTGGGCCTAAACGGTGGTTTTGGTGATCTCGTGGGCCGTTTTCGTTTCGACTGCGTTCTGCAGCAAGGGCGGATTGGAGACAACCGCGAGGGAAGACGACCACAGAAGGTACACGAAAAACACCGTTTAGGTTCAGCCCTGCCCTCCTCTCCTCCTCCCCCCCCTTCGCTCTTCCGTTTTTGGTTCCGTGCCTGCGCGCGCCCCATCCTTCCTGCTTCCTGCCCCCCCCCTTCTCTCGAGCGCGCGTCGCTGGAGGTCAGTCTGGGCCCCCATCGAAGATCGACCACTGCGCCTCCCCATGGGCGCGCCCTGACCAGCGGCTCAGCGAAAAATATAACAGCGCTCGAAACGTGGCCCCCAGACTTCTCGACCCTTTCTACAGGAACCACTTGCTCGTCCCGGATCGTTTTTTGGCGGCCCTGGGGCCTGGGGGCTGCCAGTGAAGACCGAAGCGGGAACGAACGACGTCAGCCTCGCGCTCATTGCGCGGCACTGGGCGGCCCTCTCAATATCGCCTCTTGTTCTGGCCAAGGCTCCCTGGGGGGCCGGCCTCGGCGACGAGAAGTCCCTTGGTCGCCATGCAAAAATACGCAAAAGCACGTCCGACCTTCGAGCTTCGATCTTGCATCCAAGTCCTCCTCCCCCTTTCCCCCGAGGAGGGAGCGGAGGGGGGGATGGGGGAAGGAGGGGGGGCGAGGATAGGGGGGTGGGAGGTTTGAGGTTCGAAGATTGACTAAGGTTTGGGGCGGCTGTTGCCTCCGAGGGTCTGGGCGCGAGACTCGGAGCCCTGTCGTCCACCTCCCCCGGTCGCCCGCCCCCAACAAAGACATAACCAGAAACGCCCTCGGGATTCTTCGAACCTCGGTTTTGGCGGTCGTCGCGCGGCAGGGTTATGTCGTGCGTGTCCCCCTACATGGGGATTCTCTACGAAAAATTAGAAGTACCCTAAACATACCCCCAAAAAGGTTAAAACAGTAGTCCCCGGACTATTTTTTGGACTGTTTTTTGATTATTTTTGGGGTATTTTTGATTTTTCGCCGAAAATCCCCCAGTAGGGGGACAGGCCCGACTTGAGGGCAAGGGCCCGCCGCGGGAAGCAGAGTCCCTCGGCCGCGCCCTCGGTGGCCGCCGGCGCCCCCCCCACCCCCCTGGAAGCACCGCGTCGTTGCCGCCCCCGCCCCCGCCCTGGCATTTTCGCCCCTTCGCTGCGGCCTTCGTTCCTGCCTGCGCTCCCGCCCTCGCTCTCGTCGTCGTTTCTAGGGGGCCACAGGCGAACCCTGCCCCCTGCCCCCCACGATTTCTGAGGGGGAGCGTGGGGTTCACTTCCTTCGGGACCTCCCGAGCGAAGTGAGCCCCACCCTCCCCCTCAGAAATCGTGGGGGGTAGGGGTAGGGTTCGCATGTGGCCCCCTAGTTTTCAGCCCTCGTTCCCGCCGTCGTTCCAACCTTCGTTCCCGGCCGTCTCGGCGCCTCCCTGGGGCCCTCTTGGGGCGCTCTGCGCTCTTGGGGTCAACCTGGAGGACATCGATCCACAACGAGGGGTTCCCCACCTCGCGCTGCCCCTCAGGAGCCCCAAACATGGTCTCCTGGGGCGCTTTTGGGGCGCTCTTGGAGCGCTCTTGGGCGCTCTTGGGGCCGTCTTGGGGCTCCCTTGGGCCTCTCTTGGGTCCCTCTTGGGCCATCTTGGGGCTACGTTGAGGCCTCGGAAGGCTCTCGAAGACGAGCGGGCGACGATTCAACAACAATCATTGACTGCCCTTAGGTTTTTGAGGGATGTTTGCCTCTTGGAGGCATCCTTGGAGGTCTCGGAGGCCTCTTGGAGTCGTCTTGGGGCGGTCTTGGGGCCTTTTGGAGCATCTTCGGAGCCATCTTGAGTCATCTTAGGCTATCTTGAGCCATCTTTGGGCTCGTCTTGGGCTCTCCGAAGCGCTCTTGGAGCCGTCTTGGGCCATCTTAAAGGCTCCAACTACCCGAAACAAAACCTGTCCAGGTCCAGGGGAGGGGGTAGGGGGAGGGGTAAACCCCCTCCCCGACGGGGAGCAAGGGGGCTGGAAGAGGAGCAGCCCTAGACAACCTACACCCTAAAGGGCTGGTGGGATTTATACAGGAGTCGCTTTCTCGGCGCTCTGGAGTCGCGCTCTTGCAAGTTATTCAAGGATCGCGCCCTTGCGTTGGGCTCCCCCGCACACTACTCAAGCGCCGCGCTCCCGACACTCAGTCGCCCAGGAGTCTCGCTCACGCCTAGGACTCCCTCGCAGCTTACTTAGGAATCGGGCGTCTCGCTGCCCTTCGTGGCCCCGTTGCAGCCTTTCGTGACCCCCTCGCTGCCCTTCGTGGCCCTGTTCCTTCGTGGGCCTCTTGCTGCCCTTCGTGGCCCCGTTGCAGATGGCGCTATCGCTCGAGAGTTCCTCGCGATTCATGGAGGACGCACGCTTCAGCAACCCGCTTGCTCGACCTGGCCGCCTGGGCCCGCCTTCCCGACCCGCCCGTTAGGGCCTATCCGCGCAATCTGCCCGTCTGGTTTTGCCACTTGTTTTCTGCTCCTACGTAGCCCCCCTTGTGCTACTCACTCTCGTGCTCCATCCTCCTCCCTTCCCCTTGCCCCTTCTTTCCATCCTCCCTCTCTTCCCCTGCCTCAGGGGCTGCACGAAATACTTGTTGCAGGTAAAGAGGTTTACCCCGAGGGGGGTACGATCGAAAACGAAGAGGGCGGGTATCAAGGGTTTGGGATACACGTGTTAAAGTACACGCGAGCAGATACGAGCGAGCAGCATTAAACTGATAGTCGTTGTTGTCGTTGTTGCTGCTGTTATTGTTGTTGTTGTTGTTGATGCTGCTGTTGCTGATGCTGTTGCTGTTGCTGTCGTCGTCGTCGGCGTCATCGTCATCGTCGTCGTCGTTGTTTGCGATGAAGACGGTGAGAGTGTCGATGCTGCTGCTGGTGACGATGCTGATGCTGATGCTGCTGATGCTGCTGATGATGCTGATGCTGATGCTGATGCTGATGCTGATGCTGATGCTGATGCTGATGCTGATGCTGATGCTGATGATGATGATGATGATGATGATGATGATGATGATGATGATGATGATGATGATGATGATGATGATGATGATGATGATGATGATGATGATTAGGGAAAGGAGGGGGAGAAGGAGGACACGTTGGAGGAGGGAGTGGAGAACGAGGAGGCGGATACGGTGGATGACGAGGAGGAGGACGAGGATTTGGACGGTCAGGGGAAGCGGTCGACTAGGAAGAGGTGAAGCGGGAAGATGGGAGAGAGGAGTGGGTTTTGGCGACGGTAGGAGGAGGGGGAGCGCCTTTCGTCCCCGTCCTCCTCCTCCTCCTCCTCCTCCTCCTCCTCCTCCTTCATGTGTTCGTCATCGTCCGACTCATCGTCCTCCTCCGCTTCCGCCTCGTCTTTCTCCTTCGTCTACCTTTCCTCTCTCCTCCTCGTCTTTTTCTCCTTCTCGCTTTTCCTCGCTCTTCCCTGCTCCTCTTGTTCCTCCTCCTCCTCCTTTCCTCCTCCTCCTCCTCCTCCTCCTCCTCCTCCTCCTCCTCCTCCTCCTGCGCGCTCTGGCGGGCGTGGGCGTGGACAGGCGCAGTTCACGGTGCCGATCGAGAACAAGAAGAAGAACGACGACCTGGAGGCCCTGGAGGGTCCGCGCGACACGGGCCGTTTCGATCCCAGTCGGGTCACGGGACAGGCGGCGGCGTCGGCACTGATGCTCGCTGGTGGGTGGGGCCGAGATTCACCAGCTTCGAACTTATCCCTATCCCTAAGATTGACACGCTAAAGGGAGATGACAATCTTAGGGATACACGCTCAGAAGCCGAGGAAATCCCCAAGATCGCCATCGCGATGAGGCGATGCCCAACATAGGGATAGGGATATGTTCCAGGCTGGGGCCGAGATGGGGGCAGGAGGCTGGAAGGCGTCGAGGAGGAGGAGGAGGAGAAGGAGGAGGAGGAGGAGGAGCGAGGAGCGAGGAGCGAGGAGGATCGAAGGCGTTGAGGAGGCTGTTGTGCGTGAGGATGCCGAGCGGCGTGTGCGCACGGGGGGCTCCCACCGGCCAGCGGCCAGAGGTGCGCCCGCGGGCGGGGGGCGCGCGGACCGCCAGGTGAAGGAGGACACCAACGACACCATCTGAGCCACCGGGGCGGACAGGGTGGCGCTGGGGCGACCGGCCCCGGAAGGAGGGGGAGGAGGGGGGAAGAGCAGGGGGAAGACGAGCCGCGGCAGCTGAGGATGATCAGGAGGAGGCGGAGGAGGAGGATGGCGATGATGCTGATGATGATGCTGCTGCTGCTGATGATGATGATGATGACGACCATGATGATGATGATGATTATGATGGCAATGATGATGATGCTGATGATGATGATGACAATGATGATGATGATGTCAATGATGATGATGATGATGATGATGATGATGATGATGATGATGATGATGACGATGGTGATGAGGATGATGGTGAAGATGACGGTTTTGGTGATGATGCTGCTGCTGCCGATGATGATGATGCTGATGAACATGATACAAGTAATGATGATGCTGCTGATGATGCTGAAGAAGCTGATCCTGATGATGATGCTGAAGATGCTGCTGAAGAAGCTGATCCTGATGATGCTGATGATCCTGATGATGCTGATGATGATGCTGAAGAAGCTGATCCTGATGATGCTGATGATGCTGAAGAAGCTGATCCTGATGATGATGATGATGCTGCTGATGATGCTGAAGAAGCTGATCCTGATGAACGAGGAAACCAACGAGAACAACAGGAGGAGGCGGAGGCGGAGGATGGCGATGATGCTGATGATGATGCTGCTGCTGATGATGATGATGATGATGACGACCATGATGATGATCATTATGATGGCAATGATGATGATGATGATGATGATGATGATGATGATGATGATGATGATGATGATGATGATGATGATGATGATGATGATGATGATGATGATGATGATGATGATGATGATGATGATGCTGATGATGATGATGATGATGATGATGATGATGATGAAGATGATGATGATGATGATGATGATGATGATGATGATGATGTCAATGATGATGATGATGATGATGATGATGATGATGATGATGACGATGGTGATGAGGATGATGGTGAAGATGACGATTTTGGTGATGATGATGCTGCCGATGATGATGATGTTGATGAACATGATACAAGTAATGATGATGCTGCTGATGATGCTGAAGAAGCTGATCCTGATGATGCTGATGACGCTGATGATGCTGATGATGATGGTCATGATGCTGAGCAGGATGATGATGATGATGATGATGATGATGATGATGATGATGATGATGATGATGATGATGATGCTGATGATGATGATGATCATGCTCATGCTGATGATGGTTATGATGGTAATGATGGTGATGCTGCTGCTGCTGAGGATGGTGGTGTTGGTGATGAGTCTGCTGCTCATGGCGTTGATGGTGGTGGTTACGATGCTGATGGTGGTGGTGGCGACGACGACGATGGTGATGATAACACGACGACGATGACGATGGCGATGACAATTGCGATGTCGATGCCGATGCTGATGATGATGCTGATGATGTTGATGATGCTGATGCTGATGATGAGAATGACGATGACGATGACGATGATGATGCTGCTGATGATGATGATGGTGATGTTGGTGGTGATGATGGTTGTGCTGGTGATGATGGTGGTGCTGGTGATGATGCTGCTGCTGATGATCATGGTGGTGTTGATGTGAGAGAGAGAGCGTGATCCACCGCCGCTTTACTGTGGAAAATTGCCAACCTTTTCCTCCGGAACCCGGGGGTCGCCCCCCCCCCCCCCCCTCCGAAAATCCCCCCCCTCCTGCTGGAACCCCTCCCCCCCCCCCTCCTCCCTCCGCAAAACCCCCCCCCCCTAACCCCTCCCCCCCCCCCTCCCGCTCGAAAACCGGGGGGGGGTCACTACCGGTTCGAACCCCTCCCCCCCCCCCCCCCCTACCCTCCGATCCGGAAACCGGGGGGGTCACTACCGGTTCGAACCCCCCCCCCCTACTCACCGCCAGCAAACGACTCCCGGTCCCCACCACCGTCCGCATCACATCCCCCACTGGTGTTCCCAGCACCACTGTCCTCACCACCGCTGTCCCCACTGGTTCCACCACCGCCCCTACTGTCCCCACCAGTGGCCCCACCACTGTCGCACTGTCCCCGCTGTCCCCAGAACTGTTCCCACCACGGTTCCACTCTCCCCACTGTCTCCACGGCCCCAACCACTGCCCGACTATCCCCACTGTCCCCACTGTCCCACTGACTCCTCCGCTGTCCCACTGAGCTGTCCCACTGTTCCCACCACTGTCCCCACTGTCCCCACCACTGTCCCCACTGTACCTCTGTCCCATTGTCCCACCGCCGTCCTCGCCACCGCCTTCACCACTGTCCCCACCACCATTGTACCCTCCACTGTCCCACTGTTTCCACCTCATTCCCATTGTCCCCACACCACTGTCCCCACCACCACCGTCACCACCACTGTCCACTGTCCCCCCCTGTTCCCACCATTGTCCCCACCACTGTCCCCACCACTACCGTCCCCACCACTGTCCCACTGTCCCACTGTCCCCACCACTGTCCCGCTGTCCCCTCACCACTGTCCCCACCAACACCGTCCCCACCACTGTCCGCACCCCCACTCGGTTTTCGAGGGGGGGGGGGTTCGAACCGGTAGTGCCCCCCCCCGGTTTTCGAGGGGGGGGGGGGGAGGGTTCGAACCGGTAGTGACCCCCCCCCCATTTTCATGATGAGCTTGGGGGGGGGGGGGGAGGGGTTCGAACCGGTAGTGACCCCCCCCGGTTTTCGGGTGGGGGGGGGGGGGAGGGGTTCGAACCGGTAGTGACCCCCCCTGGTTTTCCGCCAGCAGCGGTAGAACACGCTCTTTCTGATGTGATGATGATGCTGATGATGATGATGCTGATGCAGATGCTGATGCTGATGATGCTGATGCAGTTGATGATGCGGGTGAAGTTAATGATGCTGATGATGCTGATTCCGATGATGGTGTTGATGATGCGGATGATTCTGATGGTGTTGATGATGCTGATGATTATGATTCTCATGCTGATGCTGATGCTGATGCTGCTGACGATGATGACGACGATGATGATGCTGATGCTGATGATGATGCTGATGATGGTGTTGATGCTGCTGCTGATGAGGAGTATGCTGCAGATGCTGATGACTATGCTGCTGATGATGTACGATGATGGGCGTGATTATGATGTTGATGATGTGGCTGATGATGATTTTGATGATGATGATGCTGATGATACTGATGATGATGATGATGATGATGATGCTGTTGATGCTCATGATGAGGCGGAGGAATATGATGATGATGCTGATGATGCTGATGATGATGCTGATGATGATGGTGCTGCTGATGATGATGATGATGATGATGATGCTGATGAGGATGATGATGATGATGATGAGGATGATGATGATGATGCTGATGATGATGCTGATGATGATGCTGATGATGATGATGATGATGAGGATGATGATGATGATGATGATGATGATGATGATGATGAATGATGATGATGATGATGATGATGATGATGATGATGATGATGATGATGATGATGATGATGATGATGATGATGATGATGATGATGATGATGATGATGATGATGATGATGATGATGATGATGATGATGATGAATGATGATGATGATGATGATGATGATGATGATGATGATGATGATGATGATGATGATGATGATGATGATGATGATGATGATGATGATGATGATGATGATGATGATGATGATGATGATGATCACGACGATCATGATGATCAGGAGTAGGAGGAGGAGGAGGAGGAGGAGGAGGAGGCGGAAGAGGATGCGGAGGCGGAGGAGGCCGAGGAGCACGACGAGGAGGAGGACCGAGGCAGGAGAAGGGAGAGGGAGGAGGGTGGCAGCCGGTCCGAGTAGATGGCAGGTCGACAGCTGCCCGTCGGGCGTTTTCGGCGTGCGCCCAGGCTGATTGAAGAAGAGGGGGCCGTCCGCCCTTGGGAACGCAGTATTCAGGCTGCGGCACTTCAGGCAATTCTAGACGCCTCGCGTAACCCCACCAGCTCCCCTCCTCTGAGCGACAGCGAGGCCCGCCTCCTGTTTGTTCCTCCCCCCTCTGTATCCTCCTGCCCCTCTTTTCCTCTCCCGTTGCGCGTAATTTAGGCCGCCGCTTAGTTTGTTGCGCCCGACTGCTTTCGGCGCGGTCGCGATCAAAAAAGTACCCCCACCAGCTCATCCAGAAACGATGCCCCGACGAATTGCCCTGAGGAGGGATCAGGAATACGCGGATGAGGAACAGGAGGAGCAAGGAGGAGGAGGAGGAGGAGGAGGAGGAGGAGGAGGAGGAGGAGGGCGATCAGAATGGCCACAGGCCTCTTTGATGCCTCTCGGAGTCTCTTCGCATGTCTTTCGATAGGTTCTCGGAGTCCCCTTGGGGCGTCTTGGGGGGCTCTTGGCGGCCCCAGGGGCATCTTGGTACGTCCTGGTTGCCTATGGGGGGGCTCTTGGCGGCCCCAGGGGCATCTTGGTACGTCCTGGTTGCCTATGGGGGGGCTCTTGGGGGCTCTTGGGGTCTCCTGGGCGCCTCTTGGGTCTCTCTTGGGGCACTCTGGCGAGCCTCGGGGGCCATCTCGCGGCCATCTCGGAGGAGTTCGATCCGAGAAGGGGGGGACTCGTCTATGCCCCCCCAGGAGGCCAACCTGTGGTGAAAACCTTGGTCAAGTCAGTGAATTCTGCCTTCTCGCCGAGGCCATCTCGGACGCTCGAATCCCTCGCGGCCCTCCCCGTCCAGGTCCAGGGGTAGGGGGTAGGGGGATGGGTAAACTCGACGGGGAAGAAGGGGGTTGGAAGGGGAAATTTCCCAAACCACTCACGCCTTGAAAGGCTGGTGGGACTTCGACCTCATGGCCGAGACAGGAGAGGACCCTGCCTCGAACGTTAGTCAGGGGGCGAGCGTGACTGACAAGCCGTGCGACGGGGATCAACAGTGTGTTCGCGCTCGGACCGCTAGTGACCACGGGCTGGACTCGGTGGCAGCATGGGCGCCTTGGCGAGAGCAAGAGTAGCTCTCCGCGGCCCACCCAGAACCACGGCACGCAACAGGCGAGGCTTTTGCCACCCAGTGTTAAGTC